ATTGCGTGGGATCAATCTGTGATGCACATATGGTATAGCCTACTGTATTTTATGAGTGAGAAACGAACGAGGAAGAGCTGGGGAATGGAGGCCTTAAATAGCATCGTTCCAGGGATGATTTGACATTGAAAGCAGCTCCACAGATTGCAAACAACGCTCTGAATAAAATGAAACATCACAAATTTTCTCGCTGAAAGGAAGGCTGAAGTTAGTCCTCACCCTCTCTCTCTCTCTCTCTGAAAACCAAAAATCTTGGAACGAGCAAATGTCAAAAACAAAATACTATATATATATCTGCATACAACATATTCTAAAACAGAAGACGTGTACAAGGCGAGCGGACTTGGAGAAACTAATTCATGCTGTTCATTTCCTGCAGGTTTGATTACTTGACCTCTCCCCCAAAACAACTCTCAGACAACTTCAGCTCATTCAGGAGAAACATGTTCGAGCAAGCGAGACTCCTCACAAAATACATCTCTCACCGTCTTAACCAAATGAAACTCTGTGTCTATTAGGTCATCAAGTTAAGGGCGTGATAACTGTTCCCTACAGTACAAGCTAAAGTAGCAACATTTAGAGCTGGGACAAACCTCCAGAGGAGACAAGACCTGCTCTGACTTTGAAACACCTTTAAATCCAGGTTAAAAACTTTTGTTCTGCACCCTGACTTGAACTAATACTCACCAGAACCATCTTGACCTCTATCTTATTTATGTCTCTGTTCTTAACTTTTTAATTTGTTTGTGTGAGGGTTTTATTTTATTTCAATTTATAATATCAACATTTTAACTGTTGCTGTTTCTATGCCATTCTTTCTTTTTTAGTTTGTAAAGCACTGTCTGGATTTGTCTTTGTGTATTAAATGTGCTCTACAAACAGTTCGATCCGATGTAATAGAGCCTGACAATTTGAAAAAGTTCAAACCAAAATGACAAATCCTACAATCAAGTTTTTTTTCCCCTTTTTTTTGGTCATGCTTGCAATCTCAGCTCCGAGTCTGTAGGCCAATAGACCATTTTTGGTCCAGACTAAAATAGCTCACATTGCTCAAGAACTACTGGATGAATTTCTAAAAAATTTTGTTCAACATTCATGGACCCAGAAATTTAAATAATTTGGACTTAAAATCCGGTCAGCCTGACTTTTCCTCCAGTGGCCTCTGATATTTGTGATTTTTTGAGATGAAATGTCTCGATAAGCACATGAGAATTTCAAGAGGGATGAAATTGTAATAATTTTGGTGTTCCTTTTCATGAAATGCCAAAATGATTGTGGTCCAATATTTTTGTTTATGACTAGATATTCCATACTTAATGAACATTCCCACTCGCCTCAAGCTGTATTTTTTCCACTTCACCTGCTAGTTAAGTAAAATGTAAGCAATTGTCCTGTGAGTATGTAAATTCCAGTTTCTAAATAATTAGTGATTTGACACAAACACTGAGCAGAGGCTTTTTCCACCCTGCCAAAAGAGAGATGAATTCTGGAAGGAAAACAATGAATTTTTTGTATTCAAAAAGGGAATAATTCAAGGATTTTGAATTATTGCAACAAAAACTACAGTTAAGCAGCAGACAAAAATACTCTGCCAGCTTTAGAGAGCCGAACCTAGCAGCACGTTTGCTTGGCTGACACCTCAAGAACGAATTGACATGACTGTCCAGTGTGACAGTATCAACAGTACTGGCCATCTGCTTCCCAGCATCACACTCCCCCAGTCAACACTCTGAGAGGCCAAAAACCTACAGCTCTGACGTCAACGACACAACGTACTCGTACAGATTACACATTTATCACACAGATTGATATCACTGCATTTATGAATCATTCTCAACTGAGGTATAATTGAAGACAATTTTAGGCAAATCACACACAAGAGTATTTTTAAATCTGAATTAATGTTTTTATGAAATAATTAATCTTAAGGGAGGACGTTTTCAAAGCAATACAGATCAGGAGTTCAAATATTTGCAAGTTTCCTGTCAAGCAGAGTCATAAAACTGAATATTATCTTTTATCAATTTCCAAAGCGATGGAGCTTCACTTGACGAGTTGATCAAAATGAATTGTCTGTTGTTCGAGAATGTGTGGGATCTGTGTGTGAGAACAGCCATTTCTTTCATCCTCCACAACAGCAGACAGATGGATGTGATGACCAGCACCATCGGGGCGTTTGGATTGGCCCGTTGTACAGGGCTGCATGTGTTCACTTGCTGCATTGCTCTAAAAAAACATTTTTCAACATTTTCTTTTTTCAGTATACTCCCCGACCCAGAGACACACACACACACACACTCACACTCACACTCACACACACACACACACACACACACACACACACACACACACACACACACACACACACACACCTTATCTTCTATGGAGATTTTAGCAACAGGGCAAAATTTAAGTGGAAGGAGTAAGAGCAAGTTAAGGCTTTAAGACGCCCTATTTTTTTTTCATACATGTATTTAATCATTTGGGGTTTTCAGAAAGGAGTTTTGAGTCCTTCTCATCTGGCTTTGTGAATAAAGTAGCCACACATTAATGAAGCGATTCGCAGCATATTAACCGTAGCGAGCTTTTATCGTAGCCTCGTTTCAGGTGCTGCTACTACTCCTAACAGGACTTGAGATGAGCTGAGTCTCCATAAAGAGGGAATGTCTGGTATAAGTGCTGATATGAGCTTTGATGTTCACTACGCCACATTCCCCAGCTTATGCTGGAGGTGCTGTCCCATATTAGCCCATCCTGCCTGTGATCTGACAGGGAGAGGGAGAGCTCGCTGCATGGATGCATTATTCATTACTGAGCCTGACTCAAAGCATCTTCTGCTTTCAGAGGAACTCTACTCCCGGTAGGAAAAAAAGAGAATATTTCAGTTCCATATGAACTTTGTGTATACCATCCATCCTGAGTGTAGCTACATGTTATAACAGGGAATTCAGCGTAGTATTTTCCTCATAGAATTATAGTGTCATTTGTGTGGAAAATGTATTATTTGTTCATAATCCCATTTCATGTTTAATGTGTTTAAATTATTATTATTATTATCATCAGTGTTATAACTATTCTGACTTATTTATTACACAATGTGTAAAGCACTTTGGACTGCCACTGTATATGAAACATACTTCATATTCATATGGCTTAACCTTAATTCAATGAATATAATGTAAAATGATACAGTTGATCAATAGCATCAAGAGCTCCAAAACAGCTACTAAACGGACCTTGTGGTACGATTAAAGCCACGAATAGTCCTTAACGTGCTCAGAAAATGGAAATCACAACCTCGTCTGCTGAGGAACATCGAGTGACATGATCGAAAGCTCCAGTTACGAAATGCATTGTGACGAGATGGTTTCGTCAACTACCTTGATCTTCTTTCACAACTGTGCAAACTCCATCTGCTGAGGAAGATCATGTGATGCTCAAGAACAGTTACTAAATGGACCTTGTGATGAAATTTTTTCTCAACTATCTTTATTTTCATCAGTGCCACAAATGTCATCAATAAATGTGGAACGAAGTCATGAGAGAAGTGTCCCAGTTCTGAGTTTTTTCTCCTGTTTCTTACTTAAACTTTCAGTTTGCCTGATCATTATTTTGTTTGAGTTTCATTTCCCTTAAAACCTTTTAAAAATCAACTGCTGCACTGAGAGAAAGAATTCTTTTCATCATCCTGGAAAAAAAAAAGTTTGAGAACTTGAGTGCTTTTCATCCAAAAAAACATGACAGACAAAACTAAACCCCCCTGTGGGAAAACAACCTCTAACAAACCTGCCAATTAGGAGGAACTCTCCAGCTACTCCGAGCCGTCTCATGGCCATGAGCAGCCCTCGGACTGTCATGCCTTCACAGAAGCAGACAACAACTCGGGCCTTAGGCAGACGCTCCCGCAGCTTCCTCAGCAGCCTGTCGAAGTGCTTCTCGCCAGCGTTGCTGTAGATCTTGTCAGAATGGGCGATGCAGATGCCTTCCTGCGAGGCAAGCTCTTTGAACACTTCCATCCCACTTTCACCGTAGTTACCTGAGAGAGACAAGAGGAGCTGTCAGGGGAGTTTCATTCACAGGAGAAAGGGAAGAATCAATTGGTTTTGATTTATAAGTTCACTCTGGAGTCAGTTTTCCACATTGTTTGAATGTCAAACATGTTTTGTTTTTTTTGCTTAAATTATCCAGGGGAAGTGTGCTGAGAACACACATCTCTTCCTTTAACATTTAAGAGGTCCGTTAGATCCCCAGAGTTATTTTTACGGAATCAAGAGCAGTACAACTGGAGCAAACAGGCTGAAGGTGACCTCAACAGCAGTTTCTGAAGACAAGAGGGGCACTTGTCACTTTGAGGTGGCCTGTCCAGATGTCCACAATCAGCACTGTATGGATTGATAACAGCCACCAAATGACTTAAAATAACTTCATCAAGGCTGTTCTCTTTCTGCCTCTGAAACTTCTAATATGTACGCCTATAGCTCTTATTTCATTGCCAAAACAACATACGGATTATCAACACAGTAAACAAAGAGGGCTTGCCAGGTTTTGATTTGGTTTTTTATCAGCTTGTTACAAACTCATATTCCCTCGGTGTAAAAACAGATAAGAGATTTTCAACGGCTGCTTTAACAGTATTTCAGGTATGCATGACACATCTGACTCTTGCTCATGTGGAAGGAATCTCAATTATTGTAAACTTTGTTCAAATGTATATATCCTCTTACATGCTTATAAAATGTGTTTTCAGTGTATAATCTTGGATTATATATATTCATGGCATAAGATATGCTGACAGGTAATGCAAATGTTTTTCAAATGAGATACAAGGATGTGTGGGAAAATAGCAATTCATAATATAGCTGCAGAGTGTCAGTCTGGACTGATAATTAATTATACAGATCAAATGAAGGTGACCTTATCAATTCATCTGGCCACTGTTTTCTGGATTAAGTGATTAATTATTTGTCTATATCATCTTGTTTTGTCCAACTAATAGTCCAATTCAAACTGAAAGATTTTTAGTTTTCTATCATGTAAAACAGAGAAAATTGGCAAATCCTCACATTTGAGAGGCTGTAAACAGGGAATATTTGGTATTTTTGCTTGAAAAATGATTCAAATGATTAATTGACAAAGTAGCTGTCAATTAATTTCCTGTCAATCAACTGACTGATTAACGGAGTAACTGTTCCAGCTTTTGCAACAGCAGCTGATATCTGCAGGGGCAACAAATTAAGACTCCTGCTGGAAAAACTAAGGAAGAAAATTAACAGAAAAGAAAAGAGAAAATGCAAAGGCATTTTGTGTCTTTTGTGTCTTCATAATATGAAATAGCTCTTTATGGGCTTTGATGCCTGAAAGGGAACCTTACATCCTCCACAAAAAACAGACTTCACAAAAGATAATTTTCTATATCCTTCTCTGAAGTTGCCCTCTACTTATACTGATCGTGGGAATGAGCCTCACAAAAGAGACAACAACTGTCTGCAGCCACCTGCTGTTAGAAATGCAGTCTACATAATGTCATACACAAAATATAACAACTGTTACATTATTGCAGCAAAATGCAACAATATGGATTAAATCAGTGCCTAGATAGTACTTATATATTGTTAAGAACCCCTGTCTCTAAAAAAATATACACTGAGAAGACAGGACTGTTGATTGAAAAGGGCACTCCATTGATTTTTCACATAAAGTTCAGTTTTCTTGTTGAGGAGTCCAAGTCAGCCTGTGATAACTTTTGTGTTTTTTGGTTTTGGATAAAGTTTTCCAAAGTTAAACAAGACTATGTATAAACCTAGAATAAATTCAACAAAATAATCATGCTATTTTAAACACTTTGTTGGCACAGTGGTGGTGTCAACTATGGGCTTAGGGCTACGCCTCTTGTTTCGGGCAGTCACCCAGTTGCCCTGGCTTCCTGGCTGCTTGGGAGCTGCTGGGAAGTGGAGCAGCACTTCCAATTCACTGAGCCTTGCTTCCATTACGGCAATTCATTTATTACTTGTACCATTTTCGCTAAAGAAGGCAGAGGAATAACTAAACATTAGACATACCAAGCAAGAGAAAGCAGGAGGGTGGGAGGAGAGAGAGAATGTAAATGTACGTATGTAAACAGCATGTAAATAACAACATCAGCAACCAGAAATGATACACTTACTGCAGCACATCAGCACAGCAATTGAAGCACTGTTAAGAAATAAAGTGTTTCTATCCACTGAAATATTAGAGGGCTTTTAATTTTACAGTTGCATTTGTATTAACACATTATGCAGTAACTTTAACAGGGCAAATGGGAGCTGATCAAAGCAAGGCTTCGTACTAAAATACCAGTATGATCAATTATATATTAGAAATAAACGCCTACCTCTAATACAAGCCTGCCTCAAATAAAGGCCTGTTGCCTGATGAAAACTGTTATGGATCTTCTTTTAACGCACTCTGATGACATAATGATACTGTTCAAGCCAAATCATTTTGAAAGAGCAACGGCCAATCGGAAAAGTCAAACCAAGTGTAACTTCATCGCTCACTCAACTCTATCACTCAGTCAGTCAATCAGTCAGTCACAGACATTAACGTACAGTTGGCCCATGGCTAATCCAGCCAAAAAATATAACCCTGGTGATGTCATTGCGGTTATTAGGGTTGAGACTTAAGTTTTATACCAGCATGTCTGTTATATAAAGCCATATAACTTATTGAACTTGCCACTGCCAGTTACAAGCTAACAAACAACATAAACAATGAAAGATGCTAACTATGCTAACCGTTCCGATATGTCTTCTAGTCGCCTATTGTAATTCATAACACTATCATTATCAGGGTCTGTCTTGGGCTCAAACATGTAGCTGAGTCTCTCTGATGTTTCCTCTAACACTAACCGTCTTGATACGCCCTGCCCTCTCATCAGTTACCGAAAACTTTGTCAGCACAGAGAGCTAGAGTTTGCATTAGCACGGCCACTAGCACTGTGTCAGCCACTGCCAGTTACAAGCTAACAAACAACGTACGCTTCACAAACACTTACCGTTCTGATACATCTTCTAGTCGCCGCTTTTGGTCACAACAAATTCCTCAAAAACTTATGAGTATCGGTCTGACTGAGGCTCAAACATCTGGCAGAGTCTCTCCGATGTTTCCTCAGCTAACCATTTTGATAAACGTTGCTGTTTCACCTGTTAACTTAGCGCGAGCAGCGGTAGTGGGCGGGGCATAAATCCTGATGCAAATTTCTCAATGAGGAAGTAAGCATAGATGTGCTTACAGCCCCAGTTTTTTTCACCTTTTATGTGGAAAAAAACATGTTAAACAAAAATATTAATCATAGCAGAGTATTTTTACATAGTTTGAAACATTTCTGTTGAGGAACTATCTTGGCCTCTGCTGCTTCAGTTTTGACCATTCTTTTAGAAAAATCTGTCTCTTGTGAGCTCCTCAACTTTTTGGACATGCAATACTGAATCAAGAAATGTGTCTTACCCTCGGTGTGCACTGCAGACACGTAGGTCCAGTTGTATCGTTTGATGATGTCCAAAAGGGCCCTGGCTTGAAGGGTGTCTGAGGGCACCACCCTGAGGAAGTACTTAAATAAAGTCTTGTCACTGAGGTCAATACTGGTTGCAGAATAGGCAATCTGAGGGATGTTAAACAGCTGCAGAAGGTTTTGGACTTGAATTGCAACAGAGCTGGACCCAGGCCCAATGACCCCTGCAATGGGCTTCTTGGTTGGTGGAGGCTGACTGGAAGGAACCCCCTCGATGCACCACCTGGAGCCGTCCTTGTCATCCCGGATGGAGATGAGGGAGTCTCGTATGAACTCGATGCTCTGCTCCAGAGCCACAGAGGAATGCCAACAGGAGTCCCTGATCTCACAGCCCAGGGTGATGTTGGGTAACAAGTTTGGGTCAGAGTTAATCCGATCCAAGGCGTGGAACATGGCCTCCACTCTTTGGATGCCGTACTGCTCGCGGACCTCCCCGCATTTCCTCTCTGCCACCTTCTCAGCCGATGGTTGGTGGTGAACAGAGAAGAGGGCGCCGATTATAATATCCCCGTCCATCCTCGCCACCAGGCGAGAGGCCGAACTCGGCACCACTGACCTCTCATACTTGCCTTTGGACAACACAAATGCCTCAAACAGTAAAACAGGCAAGTACAAAATGGCAGTCAGGTAAATCATATTCGACATTTTGCCACAGGAGCTGAATGTAGAATCATGTCCACTTGGCCATAATGGAGGTCCATCAATCCTCTTTAGGATGAAATGGCAATTAACTCAGCTGCTTCTCCTTCAGTGTTGTCACCCTGCATGTGAAACAAGGGGCATTAATTCTTGTTTTTCACACACGTGACTAGAGCTGCGATGATTAGTTAATTAATCAATTAGTTGATCAACCAAAAATTACCATCTATTTTGATAATCAGTTAAACCTTTGAGTCACTGGTTCCAGATTCTCAGATCCTTTACTATACTTTGTCTTGTATGATAATAAATTGAATATCTTTTGATAGATTTTGATTATTGATTGGACGAAACAACTAAATTGAAAATGTCATATTCAGCTCTGTACATTTCTCACAACATCTCTCTGACAACATGATTAATTGATTGATCAAGAAAATAAACAGCAGATTAATTGATAATAAAACAAATGTCATTAATTGCAGTCATGACAAATTAACCCTCTAGGGGGCCTCATGGCAAAGTCCTGTTGTTGAGCCCATATTGACATACACTATACATGGTAGTGTCATTATTTTCCTCAGGCACACAGAAACCAAGAGCTGAAATGATTAGTTGATTAATTGATTAGACAAGTGCCAGAAAATGAATGGGTAACAAGCTTGACAAATGATTTGTTTAAGTCCATAAAATGCTAATAAATAAATAAATAAATAAAAATCACTTCCAGCCTCTTAAATGTGAATATTTCCTAGTTTCTCAGTTTTCTCTGACAGTAAAGTCATAATGATGATGATGATCGTAAATTAAGAAAAAATAATTGTCAGATGTATTTATATTGAAAAGAATTATTTGTTGCAGCATTACAGTTCTCCAGTGATGGAGTAATATGACCTTGCTCAAGGGTTTCCACATCGAAAAAAGTATAGCAATTTGATAAACCACAACATTGCAACAAAAAAAGCAACAAATATACGCAAAATAAATAAATAAATGAAACTAAATATATATGTGTGCATGGGGTTTTTGGAGCCCCAGGGAATGTGGGGCCCATGGGCAGTTTCCCACTCTGCACAGTTGGTAATCCAGCCTTGGTTGCAGCGCTACATCTTTCATTCATTTGATTTATCTTTTACTGTTGTTTCATTGAGTCAATCACATCATAACTCTCTAAAATGTTAAAAGATAGAATATGTCCCTCTTTTTCTGTCATGGATGACATGTAAAAACAGACTCATAGCACATACATCATGTATTAAAATATGCAAAAAGGCAAATACATGAGTGCATTTGCTATAAAGTGAGTAAAGCCCCTAAATATCAAGATAAATACTGAATCTGGGGAATAGAAAGTTGTCTTTATAACAGAGAAAATCCTTTGAGTTTCAGCACCACGGACAGCTGCCTCTGTTACAGTTGATTCTCTATTTCAACCTGCGACTGTTTCTTCAACTTTTACCCCTCAAACAACACACACGCACACACACACACACACACACACACACACACACACACACACACACACACACACACACACACACACACAAGACTGCGATATGTGCTCTGTCTGAATCATCTTCTCACCGTTTGACAGCTGACTCTAGCTCCTTATTCGCAGCTCTACAACCAGTGTCATCTACATTTTTCCCATCGTCACCTACATGCATATGCATCCCAATTAGAGCGTGAAGCCTAATTGACGGAGCTGACTGAATGCTCGAGCAGGTTCAGGAAATCGTCCTCGTGTTAAGTCGCTGAGTCCGTGTCTGCAAAGCACCGCATCTAATAACTGACATGACTTTACCTACCTGCACCAGGCAGTTCGGGACATAGCGGGTCTGTGTCTCCTCTGAAGCAGCCAGACTGGACTCCAGCTCCTCTGCTGCGAAAACACGGTGGGACTGACTGTCTCTCTCTCTCTCTCTCTGTCTCTCTCTCTCTCTCTCTGTCTCTCTCTCTTTCTCTCTCTCTCCCCCCTTGTGTGTCTCTGTGTGTCTCTCTGCACTGATCATGAGGTGCCCCCTTCTTCTCCTCTTCCTCACTGCATCTTGAAAGCGGGTCACAGTCACTGCAGTGCCCCTGATTTGAAACCATTGTTCATACACGTTACGCCACAACATAACATCAACAACGTTTTTGGGGGAGCACATTTATATATGAATATGGAAATATCCATACAGAGAAGATGTAGGCATTGAGGGAGAGATGGTTTCCTGCAAATCCAGGATAACTGAATCAAATCTTTGCGTGGTGGAAGGTTGTTTATACTGCTAATGAAAAGTGTAAAAAGGCAGTTCAAACTTCAGATGAATTAGTCCTGCGGCGTCGTGGCCGATACTGACAGATGTGATGCACTTTCAACTCGCAGCTGCAGCCCTGAAGAGATCGTGCTCTGCTTCCGCCCTGTGGCTGATATGTGGTACTACAGCTGCAGGCGCATATTTAATTGAAACAATTTTTTTTTAAAGCTACTGATTTTACATTGCACAAATTTGCAATAATCAATCAATAAATAAAGTAATTGGAGAACTAAGAAAAAAGTAATCTCTCCCAAGGGGTTTTCTCCAAATATATTTCTATAATTATTTACCAACCTCCCATTTTTGTAATGTGTTAGTAGAAAATGTGATTTAGGCTAGAATTATACTAAAATCTAACTCAAATCAAAAGATATATCCAGAAAAAATCAGAAATTAAAAATATGGGAGACCAGACACTTACGACTTATATTTACTCCTACTTACTCATATTGGCATAATAGCAAAGAAAAGTGAGCAAATTAGCAGCAGTAGTTGACTGCGTTATATATTCATATTTTACTTTTTCCAAAAGGTTTTATTTTGTTGTGTTTTATGGTAGTGTTGTAAATAAATGGTGTGTGTTCATATATAGTTACTTATTTTATGTTGATATTTTGGCCAGCCCTCTCTTGTAAATGAGATAGTGTATCTCTGGAGACTTCCTGGTTAAAAAAAGTAATTTATTAATTATTGATTAATACTAAAGTTCCATTTCATCGCAGCCCAAGTATTAAACATTGTAAATGAAAGTGGAAGTCATATGAAAGGAAAAACAAAATCGAAAGGACAAGGACAATGACGCAAAGAAGAAATTAGATTAAATAAAATAAACCAAATAAATACACTAAGATAAAATAAAGGCCGATTGAATTTAAACGTGATTTTTAAAATATAATTAAGCGTGCTTTTATTATTGTAAACATCCTCCTTCTCTGACCTCACTTCCTGTTTTTAAAAATGGCGAACATCTACATTGTAGCCGCTAAGTGAAGTGTGTTTTGGTGCATTTCAGCTGAAATATCTGGAGCCACTGCAACATGAAACGACTTGCGATGCAGCGATAGAAACCAGACGCGTTTGTGGGAGGCTCGAAAAGTAAACGTGCTCGTTTTTATCTCCTTGTTTTACAGCCAGACGATAAAATGCGCAGCGACACAGACAGTTTTCATTGTGTAACAGTGTTTATACATTTCAGCTCTGGTGCCTGTCTCCCGTAACATTAACTTTTAGTAAAAGGAAAATGTTGATAACAAAGCAGCAGAGCCGAAATGCATGTTAACACACATTTAACTGCCTAGCTGGCAGCTGAATTACTGTGAGCTGTAATAACGGATACACTGCAGGTCAAATGTGAAGTGACAGAAGTTGTGTGTTTGTGTTATTGTACTGACACGAGCTTAAGGTTAATAGCCAATAACTCTACATCTAGAAGACAATTTTTTTTCTCTAATTTTATTGTTCTGTCTGGATTTGTAAAAATCTAACAGTATTTATTCAGTGTTTCCAAAGCTTTGGGTTAATGTTTGTACCTCTCCAGGCCCGTTCACATCCTATAAATTAAACCTTCTGTGAAGGGAAAATCATGGCCTAAGTTAATTGATCACAATTGCCTACACTAAATCGACACAATACCCCTAATCTTTAATGGTGATCACAAATAGATACTACTTTATTATAGAGTTTAAATAAATCTGTGATGTGTGTAGGAGTAAGTAAACTTTAATTAGTAAACTTTTAAGACCAGTTCTATACCTCACCTGTGATTATCAAGAATGTAGTCGATCCATATCACTGAGCTTTAGGTCGGTCATTTTGTTTGTATAGTTATTTTTATTTCTGAATTTTAAAAGATGTCGTCAGTGTCCTTTTTTGGTGTGAAAAACAAACTCACTCTGTCTATGATATGTGTCATATGCCACTGAAGTATTAATAAAACTATTTAAGATGGAGTCATTTTGTAATCAACACTCCATTTACTGTCCTTGTAGAGTTAAACCATGAGTAGCCGAAGAAAGAGAGCCCCTCCTGTGAGGGTCGATGAAGAAGCCAAGAAGAAGTTGGAATGGAACATGCTGGACGATCGCAAGAACGAGACGATCCAGGAGGAAGATGATCTGACACCAGCCTGCTCTCTTCTTCCAGTCGACCCCACTCCCAGCAGCTCCTTTCTCTCAACCACAGAGGAGGTGACAGAGGCTGCCTGTAGCCGCTCCGTCCAGTTCACAGAGGAACTCCCTGGTACGTCGTCAGAGGGCACTGCCGCCTCAGCCTCTCTGGCACTGACTGTTGTGCCGGCCTCGAAGCTGGGCCACATCTGGAAGTCGCTCATTGGGGAGTTCAGCATCCGTCCGGCTTGGCTGCCACTTGACTGCGAACAGAAAGCAGTCACGCTCCACAGGATGGGCGACCAGCTCTGCCTCAGTTACAGCAGCTGTGATGAGAGTTCAGGGCTGCAGTGGAAGCCTGATGAGGACACTTGCACGGCGGAGTGCAGCCTCCGTCGGATCCCACTGGAGGAACTTGACTGGCTGCAGAAGAGGAGGGTGATGCAGCTCTGCCACCAGACGAAAGAGGAGTCACTCAAAGTAAGAATGCAATAAGCACTCTTAATTCTACTACATTACAAACTGCCTCTTAGTTCTTCACACAACTCGGCACTTATTTTTCTTGTCTTTATTCTTTGTGGTGTTATTTTTATTGCTTTACCATTTATTCTGAATCACATGCATAGTGCCAGCACTTTTACTGTTTTCAACTGTATGTGTAACTTAATTGCAGCTAAGAAAACATGTATATTCTGAAATGTTTTATTGTCAACCGTGTAGATAAACCTGGTTTTAAAAATGTTAGCATTTTGCTGAACTTGTGACATACTGTCATGTTTATGAAGTTTCTAACTTTATGTAAGCTTTCATTTTTTTCTCAAATAATTTTAGGGCATATTATCTATTTATTAGTTAGTTGTTTTCTCAATCAGCCAAATGCACTGTCAGAGTTCAGCTGTTGTTTGTCTGCGTGTGGCAGGTGGGGATTTACCTCTTGGAAACTGGGCTCGGGAAGCCCGACTTCCTCAGCGAGGGCAATGCTCGGATGAAGAAAGCAAATCAAGTAATGCAGAAGTTAATGGAGTATTTCTATGATTTCATTATCCCTGGTAAGTGTCTGGTCCTAAAGTTCAATGTATACCGTGATCACCATGAACTTTTAATGTAAAGCAAAGTGAGTCTTAAATCAAGTATAACTCTGCATAACCCTCAATCATAATAATACACATCCTGTTTGAATTCTCTGCTCTGTTTTTCCATGTAGAAGTTGTCGAAAACGAGGAGGAGGAGTGTGACACCGACCTGGAGAGGCAAAATGTAGAGGAGCTCTATGATTACGTCAGACATATGCACCAAAGAGAGAGCCAGGAGGTGACCTTTGACGTCCAGCACAAGGCTCTAATTCCTGTGCTCAGACCCTACCAGAGCCAGGCCGTCAACTGGATGCTGAGGAGAGAAAAATACAGGAACAATTCACACAAAGGTACCGTAATAATGTGCCCTGATTTCTCTGCTGCACACATTGAATTTTGATCGGTGAATATTGATATCTTCTTTGTCAATAAGTCTTTTAAGATAGAAATCCTAGAAATTTTATTGGTTTTTCCCTTGAGTGTATTAACTACAAATCATGTATACATTTAATTCATTTTATAGCCAACACTGTATTTCTATACTGTGAGACACATTTTCAGAGTATTAAAGTCAGAACAGTGAGAACAGAAATTATGTTACTGAAGCAAAGCAAATGAGATATTTTCAATCTCGTTGCAGAACAATCGCTGCATTTCCTCTGGCGGGAGTTGATCACTTTGTGTGGCAAGAAGTTGTTCTACAACCCTTTCACCGGCTGGTAAGACCTTACATCCCCTCATGTTAAAGGGTCAGTACTGTGTACCCGCACAGATTTCCAGATGTTTGTCTCTGAATCTTTTGCTGCAGCCTTTTTAACAATATAAGTGAATATAATTTATTTTGCACTGGTTAAAACCCTGAAAAATTGCATTTGAAGAACGCATGTCCCTGTCTGCAGTTTTTGTGTGGAGTGCTAGTTCAGTAGAAGAAGTTCTCTGTTGGTTTTCATACAAAAAAAGACATGAAATTCTATTCAGCTCCATTGTTTTGGGGTAGTGGCAGACCTGTCAGAGGCCTCAACATAAAATTAAAATGATCTGCATGGTGAGGCACTTGTGGGAGTATTAATTGAGCCTTTAACCTGCACTTACCACATCTTTTTGTGGATGCATAGCACTTCTGTGTTGTTGTAACTATCTGAGACATTTCCAGCGATGCTTGGAGGTATTTTCGGTTTTCAACATATTACCTGTTTTTGTTTTTGTTTCTTTTTGTTTTTTTCTCACAGCATAATTCGAGAATTTCCACTGGCTGGCATCGAGTGGCCAGGTGGGATACTGGCTGATGAGATGGGGCTCGGAAAGACAGTGGAGGTTCTGGCTCTCATCCTGTTTCACACCCGGCAGGACCTGGAGCAGGAGGCCCTTACCCTGCCGGTGGTGAGGATCAGTGGGCAGCTAGAGTTAAAAATAC